TATATATATATAAACATAAACGGTCACAACGGAGCACTCCTCATGGTTCTATTTATCAAATACTGCGCCTGTATATGGATCGCCTTGATTTGAAAAGTAAGTCATGCTTCTATGTGAACCCTCAATCAGGACTAACAATTATCCTGATCATTAAGAAAGCTCATCAGAAATCCAGTAAGGAGCACTTAACAAGTAATTTTCTCGAATGTGTACTAAATTATTCCACAAGTAAAATAAAGATGCAAAAATCATTCCAATATAATTTCTTACCCCAGGTATCAAAACATCAGACAGAGCTTTGTTGACAGCCGTAGATCCAGAATTAAAATAAAGTTCAAAGTTTGGAAAATCCTTTTCAGGTTTGGTGCATGAACCTCTTAAAAATGCCATAGCAACGGCACTAAATGGTCCAGCCAAAATGCCTATAAATGATACGTTTCTCATAAAATTTATGAAGCATGTTTGTATCAAGTTGTTGCAAGCCCAGCCTCATTAACCAAGGTATATATATATTGTTGTCCGGCTTTTTTAAAATAATTTAATAGATTAATAGAGCTAAACACAATTAATAAATTAATGAAGCTTACCAACATAATTGATAAAGCTAAAACAGTTCTATTTTTTATTCCTTTATTATTATTTCTTGTACTTTTGGGGGGCTTCACGTTATTGGATAAACGAAACACGTTTTTCGGTGCTTATCACTTCAAAATAAAGATTAACTTTTTTCAGTATTAACTTTATTCAGTATCATTTGGTATTATGCTGTCGCTCGAGGCGAACTTGTGATAGTCGAAACTTCCAAGTACCTATAAGAACTGCACCAATAAGCACAACACCAAAAATTTCTATTGCCAAATTTAATGAAGCATCATTGACGTCAACCATTGTTTGACGACTTTTTACGATTTCCTTTAAAAACTTGTACCCTTTCTCTATTAGTGTTGCTGTTTAATACATTACTTATTTTTTTATTTCTATTTCAGTACCTGCTTCCCAAATTGACCAAGCATCATTGACGTCAACCATTGTTTGACGACTTTTTACGATTTCCTTTAAAAACTTGTATCCTTTCTCTATTAGTGTTGCTGTTTAATACATAACTTATTTTTTAATTTCTATTTCAGTACCTGCTTCCCAAATTGACCAAGCATCATTGACGTCAACCATTGTTTGACGACTTTTTACGATGTCCTTAAAAAACTTGTATCCTTTCTCTATTAGTGTTGCTGTTTAATACATAACTTATTTTTTAATTTCTATTTTATTACCTGCTTCCCAAATTGATCAAGCATCATTGACGTCAACCATTGTTTGACGACTTTTTACGATTTCCTTAAAAACTTGTACCCTTTCTCTATTAGTGTTGCTTTTTAATACATAACTTATTTTATAATTTCGATTTTAGTAACTGCTTCCCAAATCGACCAAGCATCATTGACGTCAACCATTGTTTGACGACTTTTTACGATTTCCTTTAAAAACTTGTACCCTTTTTCTATTAGTGTTGCTGTTTAATACATAACTTATTTTTTAATTTCTATTTTAGTACCTGCTTCCCAAATTGACCAAGCATCATTGACGTCAACCACTGTTTGACGACTTTTTACGATTTCCTTAAAAACTTGTACCCTTGTACTACTCAGTTTTATGGAAACGCCTTAAGCATAACTATGAACAGTATAAACGCGTTGTTTCAGATAACTTTAGAAAAACTAGTTTGACGTAAAATTGCTATTTGCTACCATGTTTAGAGTGTTCTTTGAGTTTATCTCATACATAGAAAAAAAAATTATTAAGCAACTAAGAACGAACACTCAACGCTTTTTTTTAATGACAGTTGAAAGTTAGCGAACATCACTGATGCAATCTGTAAAATGCTTTTTTTTTTTAATTGAATCGCTTGGAATTTTAGTTTTATCAGAAAATTTCATATTTCAAACATCTCTTCCAAACGAATTCTTTTTATATTACGAATTCTCTTTAGAAGGTTAGCGTAAACAGTTCTTTAGACACAAAGACAAACTCTTTATTTTATTACAAACATATATATGTCACCCCCAAAGTATGAAACGCCGGAATTCTATGAAATGCCTAGGCATTGTATATAAATCCGGATGTTTTTAGGCAAGGTATGAAATATGAGAAGTATTAGATACTTTCCTTAAGCATTCTATAGAATGACAAATGCTATTTAGGCAAAGTATGAAAAAAAACGTCCTGATGAGGTTATTATGTAAATTATGCTCATTTCTAAAAATAAAAATGTTATTCTGAGAGTGAAATTAAAAAATAATTATTCAAAATGCATAAAGAAAAATGAAAGTTGTACAAAACATAATTTACGCCTTTCTTATTAAGAGAATCAAATTTTTTGTTAAAAAATTCACATTTAAGTCACAATTATTTTCAGTTTCGAAACAAATATTGCACAAAATATCCATTTCACCACCTTAGCTTGGCCACAGAAGATTTTATACTTTGCCGGTTTCTCATTTGGCATTCTATAGAATGTCTAGGAAATGTGTGAAATATAAATCATTTCATACATTGCCGGCTAGTTTCAGGCATTCTATAGAGCGCCGGATTTCAAACTTTGCCGGTAACATACATAAAAATAGTCTATATCTAAACACGTACTTACATGGAATAACTAATTTGCCTGCCTTACGAAAGTAAAAGTGGGAAGCATCTCACCGAAATAAAACCACTTCTGATTCTACCTAACATACTGTTGTAAGAAATAAGGAGAATTTGTAAACTTGGTTGATTATCTCTAGAACTACTGGACCCATTTTAATGAAATTTGATCTGTACATACATTGATACAGTACAAAATGAATAACCATTCAACAATTGTAATACACATGCATGATCGTGCGTAACACTCATTGGAGTCGGAAGGTATGAAACAGCGGTTGCAAAATAAACAAAAAAAATGGGTTATAAGGGGGTATGGTCCCCTCTTACAGTTATACAGGCCTGGTAGCGTGATTTCATACTTGAAATAAGGAAGTTTGTCGTTTGCTGTGGCAATTGGCCTGAATTTTCTAGCGACAATTCCATACCTTCTGACTCCAATGAGTGTAACGTACGGTCATGCATGTATATTACAATTGCTGAATAGTTATTTGTTTTGTATTGTATCAATGTATGTACATATCAAATATAAAATGAAACAGTAGATGAGGGATAAAGAGAAAATCTTTTCAAAATGGACAGTAATTTGAAGGCTCATAAATACTGTGGGAAGGATTTGCTTATGGTGGGCAAGAACTTCGGCAAATCGGCTTAGAGTGGTTTTCACCCCAGCAAGAGAATGCCTTCATTCACGTTAAAAAATCTTTTAACTTTTGGTGTCTATGATAATAAGGTGCATGTCAGGAATGAGCTGCCTTTTCTCATGGTTTCAACTCCCAAGAAAACCTGAAGGACTATCCTCAATGTGGCCGGTATATTCAAAAAAGAGACAGTTTCAGTCCGTAAGCAGAGTTGAAAAATGTCATCATTGTAACTTGACATAATATTAATGCTATTGTCCTCTTGGGATTGATAAAATACGTACAAATTATATGCAATATTAAATAATATGCAAATAATAAACATATTTTAAGTCCTATTAAAATGAAGTGGGTATTGTAAATATAATCCGAAGTATTTTTATTTTGATAAGACACCTTTTTTTTTCCTTTTTTTACTAGTTCGGTGTTTTTTTCCATTCGTGATGGAGAAGGAAGTAAGTTATTCTTTGTAAATGTGTGTTTAGATATAGAGTCTCTTAATATATATGTTTGATTCTCATTAATTTTCTTTGTGTCCAGTTTTGTTCGAAAATTAAGGTGACTTCATTTAGGTTAAGCACACTGGATTATTATAAAGATTGTTACAAAAAAAGTCATGGTTCAGTTTTATAAACTGTGCATGATCAGTAAATATATATACCCTGTACAATCAAAATAAGGACAAAACACAGAAACTGAAAGAGTAAAAAAATGAAAGAGAAAATTTTTCAAACGCTCTAAAACATAGGACAAAATAAAAATTTAAAAATGAGGAATATTAAAGAAATTACTAAATTAAAATAACGGCAAATTAAGAAGGAAAAGATAAAACTTCTTTCTGAACCCCCAAAATATAACCTATTAGAGAAACCTATCATGTACTTGCGATCAATTTACAAAATGATTTCAAAATATACTTCCATAAACAGTACTAACTAACAGAATAATATAACAAATAACACAATAACACTTAGAAACAAACCAGAATAAGTTAGAACGTATCTTAAAAAAATTTCGCAGTAACCTTTATTATGCTTCAATTTCATATTTTGTAACCTGGCAACTTAGTTATGGTAATGACGTAAAATAACACCAGCGACGATCGGAACAACGGCTTAAGTCCTCCATTTTTTAGAGGATTTTCTTCTTGCACAAATTCATTTCTTTGCAACCATTAAGAATTGTTTAGTATCGAAGGAGATAATCATCCAGCTTCTTATAGTAGCTCGGCAACGGACTGGAATTATAAAGAAATTTTCTCTAAACATTAGATTAGATTAATGCAAACGTCGAAACATCACTGGCGGCCTCTTTATTTAGCAATATATGTCGAATTGAATTACATCAACATTTAAACAGAGTAAAACTATTACTTCTAATAAAACTAATATAATAATTTCTTTAGAAATTCTCCTTCAAATAAATTATGAATTCATTACCTTTTCGGTGATTGATGTATTGCTCGGTTATGTTAGGATCTGCAAACTGTTCGTCTGCAGTCTCTAAATTAGAATCCAAAGCGAAATTCATAGGAGTTGAACAGTGGTCTTGCAAATTGTGCCCTACGGGAAGGTCAGCTACGACAGGAATCTGAAAAATGCAGGCATTAGGTGCTTCTTCTAAATTGTAATTTTACTGCCAAAGAATATACGAGAATAATTCAATAAGGAAGTTCAAGAGCACTGGGTCGAATAACAGTGATGGCTGATCAATACGAATGGGCTCACACCGACCATAGTGCTTTTGTAAAATATCCTCAGTGATAGACGGATAACGGGCTGCCGTCAGATTAACCGCGGAAGGTTTTTTTTTATTTTCCTCTCTATATAACCTTAATACGGGTACATTCTATCAAAAAGTCCTCCACGAAAGCAAATTTTCCCAATACTTGATCCAGAAGTTCTCCTGTCTTCTGGATTGTGTACAAAGTTACAAGACTACGGACTTGAACATTTGCAGTCATAAACTTAAAATTGAAACAGCTGTTCAACGACGGTTGTAAAATACAAAATAAAATAAAGACATTCAATATTTTGAATCCTCTAATTTCATATCAGTACTTGTTTTGACTTTACTTCATTCCACATGCACTTAAGAAAAAGTGTATTCTTCAACCAGATTTATAGTTTAAATGTGTAATGTACACTGCATAAAAGAAAAAAAAATCAATTAGTCAGAGTCAGACTTATTGGTTAAAGTAGCTTATCGTTGTTCAAATCGGATTATGGCAACCATTGTGATTAGAGCCGTGGTGGCTCAGAACATAGAGCCTTCGCCTTCCAATGAGGTGAATCGGGTTCGAATTCCGCCAATGGTTGGTCGATACGAATTTCGCACCCGGCTCACACCGACCACAATGCTCACGTAAAATATCCTCAGTGGCAGATGGAGCATGGCTTAGAGTCCCTTGTCGTCAGGCTAACCGTGTGAGGTCTTCGTGGTTTTCCTCTCCATATAGCGCAGATGCGGGTTAGTTCCATCAACCATTCCTCCTCGAATGCAAATTTCTCTCCATACTTAATTCAGAAGTTCCCTTGTCTTCTAAATAGGGTTCAAAATTACAAGGTAATGAAATTTAACATTAGTAGTCGTAAACCCTAAATTGGATTGGTTGTTCAACGACGGTTATAGAATAAAATAAAAACCTTCGCGAAAATGAGTTGTATTTTCAAACTTACTCTAAAGTTTTTAAGATCATTTTTTGGTCCAATTCCAGAGAGCATCAACAATTGAGGAGTTTTCACACTACCAGCAGATACAATTACTTCTTTCTTTGCTCCTATTACGTACATTTCTCCATTCACTTCAAATGAAACACCGACTGCTCTATTATTCTGGAACAATATCTAGGACAGAAAAATGAGACTTTCACTGGAAATAATTAAATTACTAGTAACTTAATCAAAGCAGTTTTGTGACAATATATATATATATATATATATATATATACAGCAAAATAAATAAATACAAAAAAACACGAAGAAATTTAAGAAAAACAATAAGTTTCATTTATTGCGCNCACAACCGGTAATAAACCATATATACCACAACCGGTAGTAAAGTGATACAGAAAAGTGGCAAAGAAATTTGAAGAAAAAAATCGTTTCTGCTAATTCTTAGCTACCAAAGTAGATTAGTAAATTAAAAGATATGCATTTAGATGTCTAATTGTGCCATAGATAAATATCTAATTGTGCCTTGACATAATTGTGTATCTATATTAAGTATTATTACATATATCTACCATTAATCTATGATTTAGTCAAATTGATGACATCCGCCAACTACCTTCTTTAATTTTAATGTTTATCACGCCAGTTGTCTTAGTTGACCGAGAGACCATCACATTGGCAGTGTGTGTTGGGACTGAAGTCTCACCTCATATTAATTCAAGTATATTTAGAATTTAAAAAAAGTCACTTTAACACCAAAGATAAAATTGAAATCTTTAAAATTTCCAACACCCTCATGAATTACAAAAATACTTAAGTCGTTGTTGGGAAACCATTTCATTTTAATAGGTATTTCTTTTAATTTTTAAGAGCCGTGTTAATCCTGTGTATGCAATGCTTTTCGATTAATTTGAATTATTAATTGTTAAATTAACTAAATAGTGAATTATGTTTGGTATTAAAAAGTAACCTATATTTTATGTTATCTTGTTTAGAGACCATACAAAAAAGTAAATATGAACTTTTATAATTTTCCTCATTAACCTTACTAATTAATATTATTTTGACAGATTTAAGATTTTATTCAGAATATAAATCCTATTACAGCTCATGCTATAAGGCATTAACCCTTTGACTTCAAATTTTTACTAAACATATTTTTGATAATTTTTTCATTATTTTATATTAATTTAAGTCAAAGTAAGTGAAAAATATTATATTTAGCATCCTAATAGTTAATTTTAATAAATTATACTTATGAAATATAACATGAAATTACGATATCTTTTTCTGCGTTTAAGGTACAAATTCTGAGTTGAAGCTACTGCTCAATTCCAAACACGAAAGCATTTCTTATGCACTTTGCTTAACAATGAAAACTTTAAACTCATTTATCTCAAAACTTGATTTTTTGAGTTGTGCCGCTATTGAAGCCCATGAGCGAAATGTCTAATATTATCAGAATTTATTAGGTGATAATTAATAACCTCAGCTTGTATTTCGATATAAAATACAAAATTGTTTTAGAATACAACTCTTCAGGGAAATATATATATATATATAAATTGGAAGCAGAGAGTAAGATACTTAGTTTTTGCTGCATTTTACGAAGGAATTAGATTTTAAAATCTCTTAAAATTTTATAAAGTTTGCCATCAGATTACGCTATAGACTACAAAATTATAAAGCAATGCTTTCTGCTTAATTTCAAAAAATTTTGCCCTTCTATTACGCTACGTTATTGAAGAAAGCGGTGGTTATTTTAAAAGTACTTTTAGATTCTTTTACTTAACAGCAACATCAGTCCCTTGTTACTTACTATGAGAGTTGAGGTGAAAAATTGTTTCCATGTTCTAAGCAGAACGAAACAAACTATGGATGTTTCACCGTGTAAAGATAAACGCAGATGGCGCTAGGGGTAAAAATTCGTCGTAGGACTTCCATGTTACAGCTTCCGATTGATTTCTTTCCTCCTAAGCTTGAAAATGCACGCCATCCAATATTATTATACACTATCTGGAAGAAAATGACGGGACAACTGTAAAGTTTGGTGGAGGAGGATTGATGGTATGTGCCTGTTTCTCCTGGTATGGGGCTGGCCCACTGGTGAAGGTTGATGGTATGATGAATGCCGATGGATACTGTTACATTCTTGACAATCATGTCCTTCCTACCTTGTGGGCAACGCACGGTATGGATGATTGCTTGCATCAAGACGACAACGCAAGATCCCATGTTGCAAGGAGGACTCTTGATTGGTATGTGAACAACAACGTTAAACGCATGGAGTGGCCATCGCAGAGCCCTGATCTTAACCTAATTGAACATCTCTGGGACGAATTGGACCGTCGGTTGAGGGCCTGCATCCCACTCCCCAAAAGCAAGGATGAACTATGGAGCCTCCTATTAAACATTTGGAAGGAAATTCCTCTTTCCACTATATCTAATTTAGTGGAAAGCATGCCCAGAAGGGTTGCAGCTGTGATCGCAGCCAATGGAGGCCCTACCTCCTATTAATTTTAATAAATATGGGTTTGAGTCGTTATAGTGTCGTGACCCGTCACTTTCTTCCAAATAGTGTACTTGTATTGTTTTCAATATTCTTCAATTTAACTTTCTTTTAATTTAACTTTCAACGAAACAAACGAATTCGGAAGACTCCGCGATCTTGCTCCGGTGCTACCCAAAAAATAACAAACGGTTCTATTTCACACAAATATAATCAAATAAGGGATAGCATTCAAAGCATGGCAAGCCTTAAACTTTATTTATGTTGTGATATTAATTTTCTTAAATTTCTTTTAGGCTCACGACCTGTTAGAATTTATAAATTAAAGAAAACTCTTATAAATGGTAAAATTACGAGTAAATTTAAATTCAAATCCCAATAATAAACATTCCTAGAATATTAAGCCTGTTCACATATTGCCTAGTAGGCATTATATAAGCGAAGGGTTTCAGAAAGGTTGTTATTGTTTGCATTCAGATTCAGTTAACCTTCCATGCATTTCTATCTTCTTCCATTCTTTAAGAACTGATTTTTCATATCCCCTAGTTTATTTTTGGGACATTCATTGCTTGTTAATCTATTTACCTTAGTCACGTAAGCATTTGTAAGAATATGTAAGTTTTTTCTGTGTTCCGCAGGCACCAAGTAAGCTTTCGCAGTGCTCCACCTTTGCATGTTACGAAGAGACCCTTGAACTTCCACAAATCCTTAAAAAAAATCATGAAACAAGGATTACAAGAAATACTGAAAACAGGCAGTTAACGTGTTACATTTTGAAAAATATAGTTATAAACTTTAATTGGGTGTCCTATGTACAATGCTTTTAGCATATATTTCGAGAATCGATATCAAAAATAAGCTTAAAGTACGTTAAATCAATATTTAAGTGAGGAAAAAAACTATATTGAAACCTAACATAAAAAGAACTAATATAGCAAGATAAAAAAGGAAAACCTGTTTGTTAGCTGAAAGAAATCTAAGAAGAAATAGAAGGAGATTATTAGCAACTCCTTAAATTTTCCACACGCACGTAGATTGGTCATGTTGTTCGTAGTCCCATTTTCCATAACTGCTTCCCTGACTATAACGATTTAGCTTAGGTACGTACATATAACAACTGATTTGTTTGTATTCTTTTTGCTTTCTTTCAAGCAGAAAATGTTAAAGAACATTCTTTCTCTTCATCTCTCTATATGTTGCGTAAAGAATTAACTCTTTCCGACCCAAAGTATAATTTATGTTGTAGTAAAGGATTTTGAATAGGAAAAAAAATTTGCCTAGTTCGCTGATTGACCATTTGCTGTCACGTGGCTACTCTATGCCACCACAGCCAAGAATTGGCGTAAAGTCTATAATGTAAACATGTTCACCAAATCCCATAGGCCATTTAGGATGTACCAAAGAGCTAGTATACAAATTGAGCAATCCCGCTGTTATATTTTCCTATCTCTCTTAGTCTGCAACATCAAAGTCTCCTCAGTCACGTGCTCGCTCTCATTCGGCGATTGTGTCAGAAAAAGAAGGGCGCCGTGTGACTCTTCAGATGAGTCTGGTTGGTTTGTTGGTTCTAATGCCACTTGCCACACGGGCAAGCTTGCTTGGTGAAACCGAGCAAATTTCTTGTTTTTCAGTGGCGCCATCTATGGCCAAGAATACGACTTCTGCCACACCAGACGTCACGCCAGTTTTGTAAGGCGGACCCATTCATACATCCATTCATTCATCCACAGATCGTAATTTTGACCTGAATCAGAGAACGATCGATCTCCAATCCAGTACCCCCAAGGGTATTGATTTGCTATGGGAACAAGGAGGACTTTTGCGACTTGACAGATTTAACGTGCATCAGTCACTTTACTACACGGGGAGTCTTCGGCCGGTGGGATTCGAACCCACGAACTCTCGGACATGGGCCCAGCGCCCCATCGACCGAGCTATCCCGGCCTTTCAGATGAGTTTTCGTTGTTGACAGAGAACTCATCTCTCTGAAATGTCACACAGGCGCCCTTCTTTTGAGATTAAAAGTAGTATGAAATAAATTTAACGCTATTATGTTTGACTTACCAGTTTGTTTCTCGGCATTAGGATCAACGATTTCGTACCCCATATTTCTAGCAGCTTCAAATATCGGATCTTCAATAATAGGGTGGTAATTTGGAGATTCAACTGCCATTGGTCCCCCAGTAGAATGGTATTCTGTTATACAGAGTGTGAAAGGAAAAAAAAACAGGACAAACAATTTTTAATCTAACTTTATTAAAAATAAATAAGTTGGCGAAATTTAACAACAAAAAATTGACATTTACCAATAAATATATTTAATTGGTTTCAAAGTGGTCGGCTTTTGGAGCAATACAGAAGCGCCAACACCCATTGAAATTTTCAGCAATGGGCAAGACCTTTAATCTATCTCATTCTTACCGAAGTGATTGCTTTAACGAACGATTTCACACTGCTATTTTGACAGTGTTAAGCAATTTTAAAATGGCAGAACTTTTGCTTGACATATCGTTGTACCATATTTTATGACAAAATCGAGGTCTAGTTTAGGAACTTCATATGCTCTATATTCTTTCCAACTTTATATTCTTATTTTAAGTGTGAAGCAAACATTCTTTATACTAGGTTGCGAAATAAACAAAATTTACCAATTGCAAAAGGACACGTCGGTAATAAATTGTTTTTCGCAAAAATTGAATACGTTGTATTAAACTAAAATGTAAGTAAGGGAGAAACTTAATCACTACTGTCTAGACAAATAAGAAATTGTTTCAAAGATATTTTTTATGCAAAATCGAAGAAATCAAGTCTCATAGATTGCCAAATCATGTCAACAAGACTCATAGATTGTAAGGTAAGAAAACTTTAGTTAGGAATGAAGGAGATTATTAGCAACTCCTT